TACTATAAAATAGTACGACATTTAATAGTTATTAATCCTGATTAATACTTTTAGTAAGTACTACAGATTTAATATAGAGATTGCATGCTTTTAACATAATTATTAACTAAATGTTATTAATTCTTCTCCCATTTTCGAAAATTCCAGAATTTATTCTAAATGTAATATCGCCGTCTTCCTCCGCGACCCTTTCACTTTTAAAAATCCGCATATAAAATAGTACGACATTTGATTGCTAATAACTCTGATTAACTCTTTTAGTGAATACTACAAATTTAATATAGAGTTTGTATACTTTTAACGTAACTATTAACTAAATTTTATTAAAATTTATTAGATGCCACTCCGACAGTTCCCTTGTGAGTATAAGTATTATTGTATCTATTATAATGAACTGAATTTCAAATTCTATGTGACTTGCAATAAATTCTCTATTCATGACCGATACATTAGTATATTTATAAAAAGTTCTTAATATGTAAATGATAAATCTGTAGTAATGTGACTTAGAAAATACTAAGAAGAATTATTTAATTATCATCATTTACATAACTCTTATTAATATTAGCTTGCATTTTTAAAATGATATAATTTTTTAAATACAGAGGGTTTACAATTAACTTAAGTTTGAAACAATTGTAACTATACTATAAATTTAAAATACATTTGTTTGTCCAATACTTTTGTCACAGATATTGTCCAGACAAAGGGATGTACAAATGCTGTTCTTGCCGTCAGTTTGTTTGCATGATATACTTTGATATACAGTAGCTATTGCACCATGTAGTTTGTGATTACTAGTTCTGTTTCAAAAGTATCATTTAAATATTTAAACAAATTGCTTTCATTTTATACATGTTACGAATTGATATGTTATATAATAAATATTTTAACCACTCTGCAAATATACTTGTCAAGGTCGATCACGTGGCACTGGAGAACAATGTCGATATCGGCAAAAAAAATTTAGCCAAAAATTACTGCAAAAAAAATTCACATAAAAAGGAATTATATGACAATAAAGAAAGATTTTTTTTTTTTCTTTACTACACATAACTGCTTAAAAATTTTTTTCCGAAACAGAAATGAGAAAAATACATGGGAAAATTCTTAAAAATTTTCCACGTTTATTCTCCACTACATTGTGATAGTGCCATATCTGACTAACCCTCTCTACAAAGGTTAAATGTGTCTTCTTATTTACATTTGTATGATGTAAGTAAGGTCAACCTTTCTACATAGAATATGACTGTTGCATTTACTAGTAAGTTAAATAGAAAAAAGTTTATATGAAATTTACTGTCCATGTCTTTCTGATACACAATCTTGTGTATCAGAAAGACATGGACAGTAAATTTCATACAGAATTCTTTCTGAAAAAAATTTGTCATTTTTTGATATATTAATTTTTTAATGTTAACTTAAATCTGTCAACAAATATTTAATGTTAGTTTTCTTTATATAACATCTTTATAATTAGATAAATCTTTATAATTGTTGGAAAAGTGATATTAAAATGAAATTTTACCTAATATTAATTACTTTCATCTTTCTATTGTTTAATAGATTTAAGTCAATGATAAATATCATATTTTCTCATTCGTATTTATAAATTATTGTGAAATTTTACATGACAGAAAAAAAAATTGTTAAAGTAAATAAGTTACTTTAGTTATGAAAAAAGTTTATGTAAAATATTAAACAGTATAAGAAGTATCATAATCTTGAAAAAAATCTTTTAGTTTTGAAATATTTGATGATTATTTCTATTTTTTGATATATTAATTTTTTAATGTTAACTTATATCTGTCAACAAATATTTAATGTTAGTTTTTTTTACTTGTTTTTAATTCTGAAATTGCTTGTTTTAGGTCATTCTGATCTAAATTCTCATGCATGTGTGACAGGAAAGCCAATTAATCAAGGAGGTATTCATGGACGAATATCTGCTACTGGAAGAGTAAGATATTATTTTGTTCATTAATTATAAAATTAAATAACTAAGAGAATTGAAAAATTAATTTATAAGTGTAATAAGTTACATCAAGACAATAAGTGTTTATGTAAACAGGCAACTACCAGATCATATTGGGCTATTATATTATGATTATTTAAAATAATTACTAAATTTGTCACTAGAGGGAGGTATTAGGCACCATATCTTATTAAATTTAATAATTATAATTAAATTAAATAACAACCAAGAACCTTTAAAATCCAGTAACACAATTGAATAAAAACATCTAATGAACGTTTTTGACCTTGCCCAAGGTCTGCTTCTCTAAATTGTGTTACTGGATTTTAAAGGTTTTTGATTGTTTGTGATTCGTTCCAGTAATTCTGTAAGAAGATAGTTTTTAAATTAAATAATTTAGAAAATTCCTGGAAAAAAAATTGGCTCAAAATGGGACCCAAACTTGCAACTGCCACTTACCATGCAGATGCTTTGCCAATTACACTACCCAAGCATCTGATCTGATCTTCCCTTCCAGATATATTTAAACATGAGATAATCATTGTTGGGTACATATGGTGCAAGCTGGGGATCTGTTCAGCCAGTGTCCACATCCTGTAAACTATATTATCTGGTGATTGTTGGCATATTATGTATGTAAATTGGGTTTGTAGATGTTGGTTTATATTTATGTAAAGATTTTTTATTTAAAGAAAAAAGGTGAAAAGAATGTTTCTCAAATTTGAATTTATACAAATTGAATAGAAGGATGTGATAAATATATTTGAGTGGAGAAAATGAAGAAAGTAGAAAAGAATCTGAGTTTTTAGAGTTTAATAAATAGCCTACAATTTATATACATGTTATGATACAGTAGAACCTCTATTATCCAGACTAATTGGGGATGAAGGTAGTCCGGATAAGGGAAAATCCGGATAATCGAAACAAATACTTCAATTTGTCTTTTAATGATAATACAACACGTTTTCTTTTCGATGACATATCAGTAATATTAAAAGTGAATACTGTATTTAAATCGTGATCAAATTTTCAAGAAACAAATGTTCGTATTGAATTCGGACTACTACTGACCAGCGCTAACAGACTACCTATTGTTTAAAAGGCCCTCTGGTGGCGCAAGAAGACGGATTTTATAAAATAAAAAGCAGTTGTAACTGCATTTTATGAATAAAAATTTGACAAACTATTTATCATTTTATGACGAGTAAAATTTTTTCGTCTCGTTCACGGCTTTTAAGTAATGCATAAACCTTCGAGGCGCGAGGCCCTTCGGACCGCCAGGCATAGGCGGTGGCCCACGTCGTCCATGCCTTACGCCGCCCTTGGTCATAGAAGTGATGTAATTTGAATATAAATTATTTATAAATACGTATGTCAAGTTATATTTTTATTACTACGTAAAATATATTTAAGAGTTTATGACCACTGTGCTGGGTGAGACATTGTTGAAACAAAAAATGTCATGCATTCCATCACGTACATAAACAGTGTCATAATTCGCCAGTGCAAATCAGCAAATTCGTAAAATTTTTGTTTATTTTGAACAATCTGGATAATGGAGGTCCGGATAATGGAGGTTCTACTGTATCTTCTTTTAATAGCAAATTTTAAATAAAAAACAAAAAAAAAAATGATATACTTGAAAAAAATGATAATTACAAAAATAAATCTAATTGATCATTATTGATTATAATTTGATAATAGTAATGATAATGAATAAATTATGTTGCTATTCTTTAATCAGGAGTTTACATATGTAAAAATATCAATTCTTTAAACTTCTGATATCACACATTACCAAACTACATTATTTTTAACTCTTTTCATATCAATATATTTTTGTGTATTACTTGTTTTCAAAAATTTCACAATTTATTTTCAAAAATTTATATATAACAACTTTTGAACATTATCATTAAATAATGATGAAATTTTCATATATAAAACACATTTTAAAATATTTTTAAAATGTAAAAATATTTTTAGGGAAAAATCCAAATTAAATTGTCTGTATAAAATCTACATGAATTATAATAAATTTTCTCCTGAAATTGAATCTTCTATCATTCTTTTTATTTCAACAATTTCATTTACAATTTTGTGTTTTTACTTTGATAGTACAAAGATTTTGAAACAATGTTGGGAATTTTATAAAAATCAATAAATATTTAAGAATATTATTTTTTAACTAGATGAGGATGCAACTAAACTTACTGTATTTGTTGAATTCAGCAATATATTAAATGTCATTAAATGACGACAAAAAAACTTAAGGAAAAGCTACTGTATTTTATTTTTTCACATAACAGTAAATTCTGATTACCAAAATGATTTAAAACAAACAGTTTTAAATCAATGTTTTTTTTTCTGTAATAAATGCTTTAAACATAGAAAATATATTAGGTAATAATTTAAGTTTGTCTTAGTTTTAGAATTCATTAAAAATAAAAAATTATCAAATGAAAAAAAGACATTTATTAAATTATTGTGTATTTTTCCATCTGCATCATTAATTTTTAACAAAGCAAAGTAATGTGTAATTCTTGATATTTTTTAAGAAAAATTTATTTTTTACATTTACAGCCAAGTTTATTTACCATGTGAAAAGCCAGTAGCCTAACTAGCCATCTTTTCTGTAAGGGTTAATTTTTCACAGTGTATTATTATTTTCTGTGTGTCATTTTGATGGCAGTGGTCATTGTTGAGAAGTTAAAATAGGATTTTTAATGGCTGGGGCTGTTGATTGATTGATTGATGCTTGGATGCTATTTCGTATGCATTTTTGTTCAAAAGGAAAGATTTCTGAAAAATGGTCATTATTTAGAGATGGCTGTTATTAAAGTTCGACTATAATTTAATATTTTAGGTTTTATTATTATAATATAGCCTAGCACTCAAGCAGTCATGCTTTTGTAACAAGATTTTCTTTTATTTACATAATTAAGATTGATTGATTGATAATATAGCAAGAAATTAATTTACATCTTTCAGGATGATTATTTTTTAAGCATATTTCTCCTAGGCTGACAATTATTTGACCTTGTGTGGGATTGGAATAAATTTTCTAAGTGACCTTGATTTATGCCTTTAGGAAGTTCACTCTATTGATATATTTAGGTAGTTGGTGGGTACTAATAATATTAATGTATAAAATTTTCAGATATGAAATAGAATTACTATTATATTATTGTATTATATAAAATAATGAATATTTAAAATGTAACCAAGCACACAGATATACAAAGTGACAATCATACTCTAATGGATAAAACAAAACAGTTTTAAACAAAAATCAAAGTAATATAAAATAGTTCTAAATAATTGAATGATAGAAATTATTGAAAAGTAAATTATTTTAAAAAGTAATAAATAAAAATGAAATACTAAAGTATNTATATATATATGTTTTATATTTGTAGGGTGTATTTCATGGCTTGGATAATTTTGTAAATGAAGCTAGTTATATGAGCATGATAGGAACAACTCCAGGTTGGGGTGGCAAGTCATTTATTGTTCAGGTAAATATTGAAATTCTGTAATTTAAAAATTCTGATGAGTATATTATTATAAAATGTAAATATTACTGTATCAGAATACATATATGTATTCTGAATAGTATATGTGTATTAAAACATGCTATTTAACCATATCAAATAAAAAAATTAGATTCCTATGTTTTTGAGAACAGTTTTTCAAAAGTAAAATATTACTACCTATTAAGTAGTTGTTATTACTTATTATTGAATTGTCAGACATATAACGTAAAACTGATAAAAAAAAAAATAAATAAATAAATAAACTAAAATCAAAATTGTAAAAGAAATCATTAGTTTATCATCACTATTTATTACAACTTGTTTATTATTTATAATTGTGGCTTCTAAAAAGATGACCTGTACACTATATAGTGTTAAAAAAACTTTTCATAACATTAATAAAGTAAAGAAGAATCCCTATTTACAAACTTTCAGACTTAGTTTGACCATATATCTAAAATTTAAATTTTGCACAGATTCTGAAGTTCTCTTGCCGCTCATGGGGTGACATTGAAGTCAGTCTTTGGCCAGTAATAAATAATTAATGTTGACTTATTTCTATTACGTGTTGTCATTTTTCATTTTCATGCAAATTTTGAGGTTCCATTGCTGTTTGTAAGGTGGCATTAAAGTTTGTAATGTTGGAGTAGTGATATTTTTCCCTATTGTTTTTTAATTTTTATAAATTTTTACAATTAGTGCTTCAAAAATGTGTCCTAAATGTAATAGTAAATGTAGCAGTGGAGATAAATGCAAAAAGTTTCACTCAGTTACCAATTAAACTAAACTGGGCATTATAAAACTGCATTTGAAGCATCTGTTACTAAGCAATAGTGAGTGAGTAAACAAACATAATATATTCTATTAAATACATTGAAGGATCAAATACTAACAATAAATGGTTATTTTCTGTATAAATTACTTTCTAAGTTAGCATTTGACTTATAATAGAATTTTGAAAACCTAACCTGTTCATAAGTAGGGAAGCACCAGTATAGTAGAAATTCTTAAATGATTTCTATTTGTCTATTGTTTACCAAATTGACTGATTTCTTTCTTCTGTAAATCCTGAAGATGATAGATATATGCTGAGCTGTAAATTAGATTACTCTTTGTACTATCTAATCTTTGTCTGAGGCAAAGCAACTGGCTATTATTGTTTGCTGTAGCTCATAAAAAAATCCTTGATGGTAAAGAATGTAGAATTAACTTGCACTATAATTTGTTTCTTTAAACTAGTTTTCCTGGATAATTGTTACTTAACATCTTTTACATTATGTAGGTTTTAAAAATTATTCATTAAACTCTGCATTTTACATAGGTTTTATCACAGTTTCACATATGCAATTAGTAATATTACAATCTCTCATAAGAAATTCCATACACAAGACAAATTTTATTGTTATGTACTTGCATGGCCAGAGGAAATTGCTAAAAATATTGATGCTGTGCAGATTATAGTGCAAGTTAATTATACATTCTTTTCCATCAAAGAATTTTTTATGATCTACAGTAAACAGCAATAGCCAGTTGCTATGTCTAAGAGAAGGATTAGATAGCACAATTTTAAGCAGACAATTTCCTTTGGCCATGTAAATGTCTAACAATAGAATTTGTCATGGGTATGCAATTTATTATGAGAGATCATCACTAATTGCATAGGTTTCATCACAGTTTTACATATGTGAAATACTGAGTTTAATGAATAATTTTAAAAAACGTATGTAGTGTAAAAGATAAGTAACAATTGTCAGTAAAACTAGTTTAAAGGAGCTTAGAACAATTTTTTATTGCAGTGAAAAAAATTAATTTAATAGTTACCATAACTTTGTTATTACTGTGACAAACTGTAGCTGCAACGATCAAGGTTTAAATTTGATTTTGTTTTTCCCCCTTTCAAAAAAGATTGTTTGTATATTCAGTGAGAAAAATCTAAAAATATTTAGTATTTACTATTATATATAAATATTTAATATAATAACAATAATAATAATAAATTATTAGTCATATTAGGCCATAGCCTGTTATTACAGGGAGTTATTACATAGAATATACATTAATCATAACCATAATAATAATATTTGGTATTATCTGTTCATCTTATTGCATATATTGATTAGATCAATTCAAAAACTTTAATCCTTAAAGGAATTATATACAAAAGTTTTTTGCATAATTGTGCAATTTGTAAATCATAACAGTATTTGCATCTTGGAAAAAACGGTACATAAATATTTGATATATTGAAAAGCTGCTGAATTAAAGAAAAAATTTAAATTTATTGTTAAGTGATAACAATTACTGTACATTTTACTACCTAGAAGAAATAATTGTAATTAATGTATGAAATTAACTGTTTTTATTAGTAAATAAATGTAAATTGGTAGCATCACCAAGTTGTGAATTGTAAATACATTTTCTGCTTATTCCTGTACTAAATATTTATTTTGCTTTCATGGTTCATCTATTAAAGCTTTATGCCTTGATAATACGATTTTTATTATTTTACAATTTTTAATATTATATGTTTTTGTTTTATGTATTAAAATTTTTATTAAAAACGTAAACATTTGTGAGCACAGATCTCACTTTTTATAGCCAGAGTTTATATTTTACTAGATCACTTTGGCTAGTAGAAATATATTTTATTTAACAATTGAACTATTAGATTTAGTATATGTAAATGATGATATAGAGTTTCTTTGCTATCTCAGTATTATCTAATAATATCCAATAGAACATAATGTAAACAATAGCATACTGCTTAAATATATATATATCAATAATTATACGTTAATAAAATTTCATTATATTATCTCATTAAAGTGTGTATATATATATATATGTTACCGGCCAAACCCGATTTCGGGCCAAACGGGTTTATCCTACGCGTGTCAGGATATACTAGTTTAGCCTAGGACAATCTACTTTGGCCTAAATACTTTAGGCTTAACTAGTTTGACCTAGGCTGAACTGATTTATGATTTAGAATTATTATTCAAGTATATTAATGGTTAAAATAAAATTAAAATGCAATCAATTAGATGAACAATATCTAAGTCTACTTAATTATAAAAAATTGTATTGATTAGAAGTGACACAACACTTGTACAAAGCTATAAAATAAAAATAAGCTAATCAGTACTTATCAGTTTGTATTTTTTTTATTAAGTTATGCACTTTTAAAGGCAATTAACTTCGAAAATATTTTCAAAAATTCAAAAGAAATAATAAAAATAATTTTTAGAGTCAAACTAAAATTAAAAATGAAACTTATTTATGCTTCTTAGTGTAACATAAAATATTTAATTTTTTATTTATTTTTACAGGGTGTACTGTGGTGGCATTTCGAATTACACAAAATCATTTTTTTTACACTGGCATCTATTTGTAGCAGTTTTTGGTACAACTGCATCTCATAAAATCTTGTCTTGTCCCAACTGAATGTTTGGTAGCTGCAGTCCTTATTGAGATTTGAACATTTTGATTAACATCACTTTCTTGTAGAAATTTTTGAGTACAAATGTCGAATTCAGTTCTGTAATAAACAAATATTTTATTTTGAGCAAATTACATAACATACTTATGCTTTTTAGATCAAACAAAACGGCGTTTAACATTGCACTTTTTTTCCTTTGAAGATCTTTATCAGGCCTTCATTATAAGTAAATATTATACAAAAACCCTATCTGAAAAAATTCATAAAACTTGAAAACCTCTTCCAAATATAAAAACAATAATCATCGAAATCAGTTCAGATTTGACAGTGAAGTAGAGTAACATGGTCATTAAAAAAGAATTTCTTTTTTTGAAGTAATTTGAGAAAAAATAAATAATAAAATGCATAACTAACCTGCAATAGAGTGTCTGCAATATTCCATGCTTAGTTCCAATTTTGTACAGGCCATCATTGTTTATTTCAAGAACAACGCCAATAACATTTCTTAGGTCACTCCTTCCTCTGTCTACATCAGGAATCAGCACATTATCTCCCACTTTAGCTGGCGGATGCGATTTGTCAGAAGCAGATTTTATTTTTTTTTCCTGTTTCTGAAGGTTTTCAGCAGCTGTTTGTCTTGCCTTTTGGATATCATCACCAATTTTAGAAGTTTCAGTATCATTACATCACTATCATCTCCTGAATCATTGTGATCATTTCTGTCTATGGGTTAAATCAGTTTCAATAAGTTTTTGAAGGTCATCTTCATCTTGAATATCCTTTATTATTTTGGTAGTAGTAACATCGTTGAAAGACCAACTCTGGGTTCAACTCCAAACATAGCTTTGTAAGGTGATTGCTTTATGCCCGAATGATAGGCCCTGTTTTTCATAAATTGTACATACCTCAAGCCTTCTGACCATTTAGTCGATTGATTATCTTTTAGCCAACAACTGATCATGTTCTCGATGTCTTGGTTGGCTTTCTCGGCAGAGCTCTGACTTTGGCTGTGCTGGGGTTTTCCATGCACTATCTTAAGTTCTGGCCAAAGACTCGTCATTTCACATATAATACGATTGACGAATTCTCTTCCATTGTTTGACTGCAAAATACATGGGGCACCTATCGTCAAAAATATGTCATTCAAATGGTAGGCTGCTACTTCAGCTCGTTTAGATTCCAAAACACAAAGCAAAATAAACTTGGTCAAGTGGTCTTGGTAGACCATGATAAATTTAAACTTTCCATCAGGTTGAGTCTGAAAATTGATGAGATCCACTTGGCATCTACTGTTCATTTCAGAATGTAAAATTGGCTTAGAAACTAAACCTCTCTTTTTTTTTTCATCTTCTTTTCTTGACATGTTACACACACAGATAAATAAAGGTTAATCATCTGTTTTGTGACATTAGCATATTTTTAAAATGTCTCAGCCAATAATCTGTCACCGTGTCTGACAGCTCTGTGAGCTGCATCAATAACATCATACAATTCCTCAGGGGAGTAAAGTATTTTATGTTCCCTTCACTACGGACAACAAGTTTTTTAACGGAACCAGTGTTTAAAATTGCAGATGATTTTATATTTTCACTTTGCAAAATTTCTTTTAAAAGCCACTCTCTCCATTTTAACTGATCAACTTGAATACTAGATGATGGCTCATCCATAATAACAATATGAAAACAACACAAACCTTTTAAATTAGGTACGTTCAAAAAATCAAATTAATACAGCTTCACAAAAGCTTGTGCACATAAGTACACAAGTCACAACATGATTGTGCGTAATGAGTGAATTCGCATTTTTTACTGGATGCTCGCCCTCTGGTGTTTAATTAAAAATAAAACTATTTTATCTGGGTCATTTGAATCATTCTTGTGTATTAACAGTATCTTTACTGCTAATACACAAGAATGATTCAAATGACATATAGCAATAGCAATAGAGAAGCTTTCTGTTGCGTTTCAAATTGAAATTTCAAAGCCGTATGGGAGCCCAATATAAATTTTCGTCTATTCCCACATGAAAAACATGATTATTCGAAAATCGGTCAGTTATATTTATTAGCTTCTCCAAATTCTGAAAGAGTGGATTAGACTTAAGAATTGGCAAAAGTTTTCCCATTGTCCAGCTATACAAGAAGTTATACTGTCAATTTTAAAGGATTTTTCCTTAATTTCCTTAAAGTTTAAAATGCCAGTAATTTTATGGGGGATGTCAGAGCTGATGATTTTTAACACAAAGGGCACAAATATGTATAGAACGATCTCGCTTGTTTGTTTCAATACCACATAATGACGTGTTTCACTAGCAATGATTGTTCTCCTTCTATAAAATTTCTCGATTATCAGCTATAAGCAGCATATATCATATAGTTCATATTTAAAATTTTTTTAAAATTCTCGTTTATATGTTTTTCAAATAATCTTAAGAATGTTCCATATCCACATTTCGTTTGAGAATGCTTTAACCTGAGGAAGATCTCCTGTGTAGATAGAAAACGTTTGTGTTTGCATTAAAATATTTTGGAATTTGTACTTTTAAGGTTCAGAGGTTTACTGTTTTTATGATATATATCATTATATCGGACAGTAATATATGATTAATTTTACATTACTAGTTACAAATGATCCAGATAAAGTAGCCATTTTGTAAAAATGCACAGCCCTCTATAATTCACGAAAAATGCAAATAGACAACGAAAGCATGATAGAAAGAGACGTGAGAGGGGAATCCCCGTGTTAACAGGTTCCAATGTGTTTATTTTATCACTTGCAATGAATAAATCAGTTCGGCCTAGATCAAACTAGTTAACCCTAAAGTATTTAGGCCAAACTAGATTGTCCTGGGCTAAACTAGTATATCCTGACACACATAGGATAAACCTGTTTGACCTGAAATCAGGTTTGGCCGGTACAATTTACATATATATATATTTTTTTTTCCATTGCCAATAATGATTTCTTATATTGTTCAATGTATATCATGCATTGTTTATGCAGAATTAATGACTTTCATTAAAATAATAACTATTTTTATAGGGACTTGGTAATGTTGGTCTTCATGTAATGCGCTATCTCCATAGAGCTGGAGCAAGATGCATTGGAATTATAGAATATGATGGGAGTATATCTAATCCAAATGGTATAGATCCCAGAGAAATTGAAGATTACAAGTTGGTAAAAAGATTTTTTAATAAATTTAGAATAAAAATTTTTAAATTTATGCAACAATTTGCTATTAAGTAATTTATAAAATTGGTAAAATAGCAAATTTCAAATGTAGTTTTTTAAACATATGTTGTTTTTCATTTATATATTTTGGATAAACTAATTGATAAATTATTGAAGTAAATATAGTGTAATAATTATAATGTAAAATTCATTTAAAATTAGATATACAATATTTTGAAAAATTTTAATTTATTTATTTGTATGCTGTTAAATCAAATTTAAAGATAAATTTTAAAAATTATATCATTTTAATACAAAAGTTTAATTTCAAAAAATTATTTAAATGTTAGGGGAAAAAGTGAGCAATGAATTTCTACATATAACTTCTTTTTCCAGAACAATGGAACAATTGTAGGATTTCCTGGAGCAGAACCTTACAAAGGAGAGAACTTAATGCATGAACCTTGTGACATATTAATTCCTGCTGCTGTAGAGAAAGTTATTACAAAACTGAATGCACATAAAATTCAAGCAAAGGTATTAACTGATTTATTGTAAAGTATATATCATTTTTAAAGTACTTAAAATTAGATTTTTTTTCTCTGATTTGTTTTTATAAAAAGAATTGCAAAAAAATTTATATTAGTATTACAAATTACATATTTGAATAATGTTACATTAACTTACAAAAAGGTATAAAATTAAATTTTATATATTTTTGTACTGGTTACTTTTTACTGGTTAGATGGGAACTTGGTTCCTGTTTGACCAGTGGTTCCTACTGGAAGAAGATAGCCAAGGCTATCATCGAATAATTATCTGCATATTCAATCAGTGACATCAGAACTGAGAGAGACTGATTAATTGACTCCCACTATCCCTAGAACACAGCTCCATGAAATTATTTGTAAGTAACCATGTATTGAGTAAAAAGTTATTTTGTAAACTGGGTCTTGTCTCAGTGCCCACTTCACTCATATATGATCTTTAACTCCTTTCATTATCCTAAAAGAGAGATGATAGATCCTTTCTTCTAAAGTAGGAGGTATTGGATCACTGACCACCAAATCACAGACTTCAAAAATTTTGGTTAATCTTTGGTAATTAAGCAGAATTCTATGAATTTTGCTTTGATATATCAAAGTATATAAGTGTATTAATAGTAATTATACATTAAATTCACAAGTTAAGTAATAGTAATTATAGGTCTTTGTAGATTTAAGCTATAATTGGTATCTAAACTAATTAAATTTGTTTATTCATTTTAATTTTGATTTAATATTATCAAATGTTTTATTAACATTTTAAATGATATACTTACATGCATAATAAGTTTTATAAGATAAGTTTGCTAGGAATCTGACAAATTTGATTNATAGGGGGGTCGACTGTACTTAAATGTTTAAGAAAAAGTTTTCCTTTAGTACTGTGCTACAGAAACTGTCTCCATAGACCTGTGCATGTACCAGTTTATGACCAAATATTCCTCCTTCACACCTGCACAAGCATATCCTGCTCCAGCCACCAGCATCACCTTCTAGTTCTGGAACTTTTTCTGGATGCACCTCATATTTAAATAATAAATATTTATACAGTGAAACCTCTTAATGGATCCTCTAATTAACCTGTAATAACTCACAAATATCTGACACCCCTAACAGTTATTTTTGCAATCCCCAGATCCTTGAAATAGAACATCTATTATATCTATCTCTGAATAGCAGATGCTGTCAACCATAACACCTTTATGAAAACATAATATAATTTGTTCAATATTCTGAAACAATTATGAAATATGAAATATTTTAAAACAAAAACAAAGAATCAGCTCAAATACTCTTTCAGATGACAAATTTTGACCATAGGCATTGAATAAAGACTAGTTGAAAATAGGAATGGAGAGAAATGCAGGTTGTAAAATTCCAGACAATACTCTTTTTCTATTAGAGAACACTAACCTCGTTAAGTTTTCAATTGCCACTTATCCTCATACATATTACTGTTATTAAACTTTTGTGTTATTGTTGGAATTAAGCAAGAAACCATAAACTTTTTCTGAGTTATTCATTCATTTAACAAGAACCATATGTACAATACAATACAGTGGGTGATCAGTTAACGAACATAATCCATTCCAAGACTTTGTTCGCTATCTGAATTGTTCATTAACCGATTATCAATTTACCATAGGTTTTTATGAGAATTTGACTAATTCATTCTGGAGACCTCAAAAAATAAATAATATATACTTTCTTACTATGTTTGTTTATATGTAATAATAAAAGTACATATATACACAGTGTTGCATTTTTATTAGTCATATTTTTTCCATTTGTTTGGGGTTAAAGAACCTGTCTAATATCAATTGCTTTTCCCTCTTCTTTAGGATTTTTCAGAAATAATTAATAATAGCATTGTAAATGTAGAGATCCCTAAGCCTACTTACCTCAACCTGGTTTGGATGCCATTATAAGACCGTCGTTCTGACATCATCCCACTTCTTCAAAAAAATGTTTAATGGCAGATATTGACATTAATTCTCTTTTTTTGGAAGAAAACATATCTTGCTGAGTTTCTTGGTGTTCTTCATTCAAGAGTTCTTGACATTCTTCTGTCATCATATCCTTTTCAGGTTCCATTATCAGCTCTTCAATGTTCTTATTTCTCAGATGTGATGTTACTCCTTAAGCTGCTTGAGTCTTCTTGATAATACAGTATCTTTCTTAGATATGATTGAACTGCAGCCTACTGTAGATCTGTTCAAGCCATACTTCCCAGCAACAACAGACAAACATTGCTAAACCCGATATATAATATAGCTAAATAGCAACCAAATACCGAATATCTATCAGGCTAGTATAAGGCTAATTACTAAATGAATTATGTGACCAATTTGGCTCTAGAGGTAAGTGTTAGGTGCCATCTCTTATTAACATTAATAATTATAAATAAATTAATTAATTTAAATAATTTAGAACCGCTGGGAGGAAAAAATCGGCTCGAAGCGGGACTCGAACCCACAATTCCTGCTTACCGTGCAGATGCGTTGCCAGTTACGCTATCCGGACCTCCAGTCCGATCTCCTCTTCCAGCGTATAGAAGCTAACTATATAACCATCGACGGTTATTACAACGCCGGTTTTTTCTCTTAGAGGTTCTAAATTATTTAAATTAATTAATTTATAAATAATTTTTACTACCTTTCCTTTGGTTTATATATTTTCCTCCAGGTGGCGTTCAGTAGCTTCATTACACTATATAGACTTAACTTTATACAACTCACACGTGTTTCTGGCGTTGTGTCAGCTGAGACCTTTCTTTTGTGCCTTTCTTCTCAGTATTGTATTTTTATTATTAGGCTTGCTTTGTATTATAAAGGTAAGTTGTATTTTTGATATATTTTTTGTAATACAATAGAGTCTTTGTAATCCGACATCCATCGGATCGATTTACTAGATTTTTTACCTTTGTAATGTAAAGGGTCGGTACAGATCTGGAAGATTTTTAGCAGGGAGAGTCAGGGAATCAGTCTGTCGCCTTTGCTCTTTATCGATCAGAATACATATTTAATTAACTTGTGCTGATTAAGGGTACGGCTATTTGAGAGGTTTTCTTCCATAAAATTAATCAAATCTAGACTAATTTCACTCGATATTTCCAAAACACGTATAATTTGTTGGAAATGATCGATATAAAATATGATATGAACAAAAAATTGTCGGAATACTTTTCGAGTGTACCCGTTCGAATACACCATTGCTTAAGCTTGTTTTCGTCGCGGAGCGTCACATCGGATGGCGGACGCGTACGAAGCTGTCACGTGACATTTGCCGGTGCTATTTCGGTCACGTGACTACTCATCTCTGACGTGTTCCTGATAACTTATTCTTTTTGCGAAGAATTCGCTGAACTTTAGAGACATCATTAACAGAAATATTAAAACTTCATTCCATTCTAAATATGGATTAAAATCAACATATAATAACGTATCATAATGCGATAAGTAACTAATAATTCTGTTCTACTTTTAAATGGCCTAATCTCTCATGTCGTAAACAAAATTGTATAAAATATTTATTTACATCAAGACATTAGACATCTTATGTTGCATCTGATTAATATTTATCATCATAATATATATCATGATAGAATTATGGCCGTTAGCGAGTGGTTTTCTTTTGTTGCTTCATATAGTCAATAATAATAATAAGTCGTTTCTAATTACAATAAAAATCTATAGTATATTATGATCTATCACGTGATGTCTGTAAAGTTCNACCGTCGATGGTTATATAGTTAGCTTCTATACGCTGGAAGAGGAGATCGGACTGGAGGTCCGGATAGCGTAACTGGCAACGCATCTGCACGGTAAGCAGGAATTGTGGGTTCGAGTCCCGCTTCGAGCCGATTTTTTCTTCCCAGCGGTTCTAAATTATTTAAATTAATTAATTAATTTATAATTATTAATGTTAATAAGAGATGGCACCTAACACTTACCTCTAGAGCCAAATTGGTCACATAATTCATTTAGTAATTAGCCTTATACTAGCCCGATAGATATTCGGCATTTGGTTGGTATTTAGCAACATCAGACATCTGCCAATTCTCTACCTTTGTTATTATACTATCACCTTTTGAAAATAAAAACCTATGCAAAACTTAACGAGTACTCACCTGACAGTCTTGCGAATACTATAAAAGAATTGTTTGTCAGAAAAATAAAAGGCTGGAATTACAAGGGAGTATTTCAAAGTTCGAGGAATACTATCTGATCAGTCTATATATTGTGTTGAGCATCAACATTGACGTCTCCTGCTCTCCAAAAAGTTACCTGAAGACAAAGGAAAATCAATCAGTATTTGCTATTTTCGTCACTTCTTTTTATGTTTGTTCAGTGAAGTGTTTGTTATCCGATCATGTGTTCATTGTCCGATCATAAAAATCTTTTGCAAAAGTGTTCGTATAATAAAAAATAAGTTATATATATCATAAAAAAACATTGATATTATAGTACAAGTATTTGTCTAGTGTGTGTTACTTTTTATCAGATAGTAAAAAAAAAAGCTCAATGTACTGTAACATAAGGATATATTAGATTTACTAAAATAATTTTACATAGATGAAATGACAATTATATAAATAAAAGTTTTGTTATATTAAAACTGTGTTTTCAAATAATGTAAAGATAACAATTGCATTCATTAACTTGAAATTATAATTTTATTTTTGAGATTATTTTTAGAAAAATTTGCTTGTGTTTTTGTATTAAATACTTGATTGTTTCAGATAATAGCTGAAGCTGCAAATGGTCCAACTACTCCAGCTGCAGATAAAATTTTAATAGAAAGGAATATTCTTGTTTTACCTGATCTCTATGTGAATGCAGGTGGTGTTACAGTATCATTTTTTGAATGGCTCAAAAACTTGAATCATGTTAGTTATGGGCGATTACTTTTTAAATATGAACGTGATTCCAATTATCATTTATTAGGTAAGTAATTCAAAAATAACAATAATAAATTGAAATGTATAATGGAATTATTTAGACTTAATTTGATTTTTTAGAAAGTGTTCAAGAATCATTAGAACGACGTTTTGGTAAAGCTGGTGGTCGTATTCCAGTAGTTCCAAGTGAAGCTTTCCAGAAAAGGATTTCTGTAAGTATAGAATTATTTTTTAAATGGAGTTTTAAAGAAATGGTTAAATTCGTGACATTGTTTGGTTACATTCAAAAAGTTGTGCATGAACAGTTGGTCTATTCGAATTGTCAGAAAATCAAACATCATTGATCTGAAGAAGAGATTGAAAATTCCAAAAATCACTTAATCCAAATAAATATTCTAACTCCTGTTTGTTTGTTCGTTATACACTCCTAAGCTGTTTAACCAATTGCTACAAAACTTGGCAGTTATGTAAAACATTCTTCTAATTTAGATAACTCCATACATACCACTTCAAAATATTAATTGGATTTCTATATTAATTAATTTCTGTCTATATTTGATTTGTGGCTTTACATGTAGTGCCATTTATTGGCAAACAATTTTAAAAATAAAGTAAATATAATTCATACAAAAATGGATGTAATTTAAAAAGCAAGAAAAAGAATATTATATTTACTTAATTACTGTGACAATGATATAGTGTGAAGTAGACACACTATATCATTACTATGATGAGTAGCATATAGCACTTTACCTGCATGGAGTTGAAAGTGTTACAATGTAGAACCTATAGAAGTATTTAATTTTCCACATCTAACAGCTCTGGTTTTTTTCATTTCTGAATGGTACTCTCTTAATTCTCTTAAGTGCCCACTGGTAGCTGAGTGGGTGAACTCAGCTACCAGTGGTGGTTGATCGTGGGTTTGTGCATGGCCAATGGGCTGGCAACATGGAGTTTTCTGGATTCTTTTACATTACATTAGTAACATGTAAATAGGGCCAATTACCTAAAGTCCTCATGATCAGCATCCTCTCAGCAGATTGTCCATGTGTCATGTTGTTGTAACCAAATAAATTCTAATAGTTTTTCTATAAACTTGCTATTTACCAGGACATACTTTCCATGTAGCTTATAGACATTCTGATAATGTTTTTAAAATGAGTTTTGCCACATACATGTTTGAAATTTATGATTAATAACTCTGGGAGTAACAATTACTGTGACTGGTACTTCATAAACCCAGGTGAAGTCATGCTAGTTTTATATATTTTTCAAAATGTTATGAATTATTAAGTCTTGTTGCTTGTAAGATAAAATGTATTGCTTAAATGGGGCACTAATCTGAGCATAAAGTATACTACTTTTATAACTCCAATGTCTTTGTCTATGAGATTAGTTCCAAAAAAATTATAAACATCTTATAATTTAGTTAAAACAGCTTAATTGTTAATGGTTATATAAAGACAGTTTTTTTTTTTTTTTTCAAATTGGAGAACAGTTTTTATGTGCAGTTCACATTAGTCAGTTTTCAAATAATCTATTTTGTGACGTGTGACATATCACATAATCCCAAAACATTAAGATAGCAAACTATTTCAAAGACAAATAGTCTTTGTTTGAGATCTAAATGTTTCTGGGATTATGTCATATGATCCATTTAGTTCTTTGTACACTTAAACTATTCTTTTTTCTTATATAAAATTTATTAAATGAAGTGGATAATGAATTAATTAAGAGATTAATTATTTATCACTTATTGTCAAGAGAGAGAGAATAATTATAAATATAAATACAGAAATTCCCATAATTCGTTCGAAAAAACAATTTAATAGTTTGGTATTGAAGGAAATTATCAGAAGTGACTTTTATGGTATTATCTGAATTAAGTTTTATTTATTCATTGATAGTATTGCATTGTATACATATTTTTTTATTAAATATAAAGCTATACTATAACACTTAAAAATACATACAAATCTTTATTACATTGTGTTTATCTTAGAGTGAACTATATTCTGTTGAAAGTATTAAAAGTTGATTTAATACTTAACAATGGTAATAAATCTACAATATATGCTAAAGAAATTTTCAGATAAAAATAATTTTTTGAATAGCATTATAAAACTACTATAGCAAGCTGAATTGTTAAATATTGTTACATACTAAATATCAGGTAAATTTGTGACCAACATTAAATGTGATCAGACTAGAAACTTCAAGCACATTTCTGCTCTAAATAATGTACTTTATCTTCATTGTTTTATATTTACTTATTTGGTCTTATATATAAATTATTTATTTTTATAAATTTGTCAATTTAGAGAGTTTTTCTGAAGTGAAATTTATATTATCATTTCATGTTTTAAAATATTTTCTTTTTCCTTTTAATTAATTGGCTATTTAGATTTCATTCATTATATAATTTATGCTATTTTATATCAGTATGAAACAATGATACATGCATGATAACTTCTAAAATTTTCTACATAAAACATACAACGAATCATGTAAAGCTTATTCACTGAGACATCTATTTTTGGAGAAGTGTCTCAAGTGTTTGCTGAATTATTACATATATTTCCTTTTGTAAGCTATATGATACAGTATTTCTCTGTATAACATGGTTGAAGCTTTAAGAAGACAGTTTCCTATATTTCCAGCACTTTAAATTGAGTTAAACTTTAAATTCATGTAGAAAAATGTTTTCTTTAATTCTTTGTCATAAGATTTTTATTATCCAGAACTTCTAAATATAATTTTACATACTTCCTTACACTTTCAATAACTAAAGCAAAAATTTATGCAATAAAATATTATTATGTGGTAATGCTTTACATCTAAATTTAAAATTAATTAATACTATAGTTTGTCGATGGAAAGAATCAGCCTGAAGAGCAAGGTCATGTGTGATGTCACTTCAGTTAAACCAATCAGCACATTCCCTAATGATATCAGCATTTTTCACATAATATGTCATCAGGCAATATGTGAACTTTATTTTCTCTCACTAGATAGCAAAACAACTTTTCCATTAATTGTGTTAATTTTTTACAGCATTCATTAACTGTAAAGAATTATGAATTTACTACTAAGCAAACTTCCTTGTATTCCAATACCAGAACATGAAGTTTCCATAAAACTGTTTATGATGGCAGTGACATGTCTAACAAACAAGGAAAAAAGCAGAAGTAGCTTGCCACAACTAAGCAATCAATGGCTGTTGCTCATTGGTTAATACCCAAGTTGATTCTTTCCATAGAGACTATAATGATATACTTTCTTATTTAATGGTCTGTTTACTTATTAAATTTTATGAATTTCTGTTTAAATAATAGCTAATTTGAACATCTCTGTAAATGTAAAACATGTTTATTTTTAAAATATTTTGTGATTTTTGTTTCAAAATTCTACTTTTAATGCAATATCGTATTATTAATTATTTTTCATGATTTTAATTTTTAGGGTGCTTCAGAAAAAGATATTGTTCATTCAGGATTAGACTATACAATGGAAAGATCTGCTCGGGTATGTGTAATACAAGTTATTTATTAATTTACTGTTGACAATCAAATAACTTTCTCATTTTTGTTGTAGGCAATCATGCGCACTGCAATGAAATATAATTTAGGTTTGGATTTACGCACTGCAGCTTATGTCAATTCCATTGAAAAAATATACAGCACATACAGAGAAGCTGGATTAACTTTTACATAAAGAAAAATGTTCTTTTTAATGACAAAAAATTGAGTAGACTAGATTAAACAAAGTCAAAAAAACTCATTTACTTTATTTCATCCATTTTAGCCTTTATTTTAGAAATCAAATAGTGAAATTTTGGCAAATTCCTTTGTACAAATTGCATATGTTTGTTCTGCTCAGTCATTTTCATATATTATATACATATATATATTATATATTTAAAGAGTTATGATATTTAGTGTGAATATGTGAAGTATTTTGTTTGATATGTAGAGATTTTTTAAACTATCTTACATTTAAAATTTTGTAAAGTTAATTAGAACTAAAATATAGTGCAATCAAAAGGAATTTGTTAAAATTATAATTTTCTATAATGAATTGTAATAAAATATTTTAATGTTCAAAATAGTTAAAACATAATATACAAAGTTTAGGTTAACCATCCACTTTTTTGATCATTTCTTTAATGAAATAAAGCCAAAGAAGCTTAAATAAAGTGGAAAATAGATATAATAATAATAACAATTTTGAGATCTGAAAGAATGCCAATCTTTCAAGAACTCAGGATAAGTCAGTCTATGGTCAAAATAATTCTGATGATGCCGATCTCAGTTTTTTATGAACCATTTTATATTTCTTAACTGAATAGCAAAGTGTTAAACTTTCAGTTTATATAACATTATTTGAATCTGAATGCAAAACTGCCAAACCTATATACAATACAATCGACTTGAAACAATACAGAAGGCTCTTGACAAAGTAAACTTTTGTAACATTAATATGGCAGTTATGTTTTATATAAATTTTGTGTGTCAGTTTTTTTATTGAAATAGTGTAATGATTAAGTGGATCGAATTTAATAGATAAAATACAAGTTCCTTATCATGATCGATCATTATAGTATTCTCCCTCAAGATGTTGGACTTGAAATAATTTCCTAAAAATTATTCTTCATTTCATTGTATTTAAATTTTAAAAGCATCCTAGCATCCTAAATTGTATTGTTAATTGTTTTAGATACTTTTTTGGAGCAATGTTAGAAGCTTTATAAAGTTATTTGAATTAAATGCTAATATAATAGACTTTTTGTTAATGTTTTTATTTTGCTGTATCATCATTGTAATGCATTTAACTTTTTATCATTGTGATAAGTTGAAAGAAATTTTACTAATTTATGGCATTAAGTAAAATTAACAATAGTTTTAATTTCTATATTTTTAATAAACATAACAATATATTAAATAAAACATAAATGATTTTAAAACATTCTTACCAAATACAGAATTTTTTGCAAGTAAAAAATAAATCTACATTGAACATCATTATATGCAAAATTTTTCTAGTCCCTTAAGTGGGAATTAAATCCAAATTTAGCAACTTTTTATAATATATTCTAGAATTTTTTTATAAATAATTTAAGTACAGTAGTTTGTCTATCAATTCATTTCACAGAATTTATAGATCATCAGGTTAGTCACTATAAAATTTGATCATATAATAATAATAATAACTCTCCCGTGGTCACCACCTGGTCGTGGTGGGAGAGCCCAGTAATTTTACTGAACCATGGAGCAATGCAGGCTGGAGCACAAGCTCCTGGTAGGGACACCCATGCCAGTAAGGCCTATGGGGAGAAATGAAGCTAAGAGTGACCACACACCCACATTCTGTGGAGATAATTATTATGGTAGTAACCAGATCAAAGTATGACACCAGCTCGGACGTCGCCCGGGTTAACAAGGTCCACGTTTGTGGGTTAGGCAGAGGCTCACGATTGAAAAATAGGCTCCAGTCTCCCTTGGTTATCGGTGGCAAAAGCAGCGCCGGCCTAAGCATGACTACTGCAATGCCCTCAACAGATGTGAGGAATCAACCTAGCCTTGGTGTTTCTGTGGCAATGCATCCACAGATCACAAAGGCTGGAAAACCACGCCAACGGATGAAATGGACATCAGAAATGAACGAAAATCACTTATGGCTGCTGCTATTTTCGTTGTGAATTTGTCTCTTTAATCCGATTTTCAGTTTGGTAGACTATGATATACAGCTTTTAGTTCATAACCTGAAAGCTGTATATCATAGTCTACCGAACTGAAAATCGGATTAAAGAGACAAATTCACAACAGAAATGAACGAGTTTATCATCCGTACTTACTACACCATCACAAGACTCGAAACAAACATGACAGCATACAGACAACAATTACACCATCGATTCACGCAACAATATCCTCACCTCACTGTCACCAAACAAAGGGTTGTTGATCAAAAAAGAACAATTATACACAACAACCTTATCCCACAAACAACACTTGAACTTATCAAACAACAGGTTGCTGATCAAATACAACAACAGAAACATTTAACATTAATGAAGATCACATAACCTGTCAGGATAATCCAGCAACAAGCATTGATAATAGTACACATATATACAACAATTACCATTAATGAAACTACGGACACTTCCTCATCCATCACTGATAATGTAGACATAGAATTTGTTACTACGCTTTCACTTATATTTCAGGAAATACTCACTAAATATACAGGTACAGATCCCACACAAAAACCACGAATACCAAAAAATCAACACGTCAAAGGAAGTAGGAAAAACACTAAATTATGTAAACACTCACTTACTACCAAACTACATTCATTCAATTTCTACACTCTCAGACATTCATACATTAGTTTATGCTGGGGCAGTCACAGTAGTGACACACCATGGACTGAAAATACAATCACAGACAGACACACACAAAACACAATTCTATCACAAGCCTGCCTGGCAGAGAAGAATAGAAACACAAATAAATGACATTAGACAGCAATTAGGCAGGCTGACACAATACACTAAAAACAACATAACACCCAAATTAAAGAAACAACTCAAAAACATTTTCAAGAAAATTAAAACACACACAAAACATGAACATCACAACACACACATTACAGAATACATCGATACACTAAAACAAAAACTCGCAGCCAAAGCACGTAGACTCAAACGATACAAAACATGTACACTACGAAAACAACAAAATAAATTATTCACAAACAATGAAAAACTTTTCTACAGACAAATCAGTACCAAAACAAACACTGATACACAGCACAGTGGCACACCAACAGAAGAAGAACTCACAACTTATTGGTCTTCTCTTTGGTCCAATGCTGTTACACACAATGCTGATGCAGGCTGGATCAAGGAGGAGAACAGAAACTTGCATAACATACCAAGTATGCCCTGTGCTGAAATAAACATACACGACATTCGCTACGCTGTTAACAGAACACACAACTGGAAGACACCTGGTGTAGACAACATTCACAATTTCTGGTATAAAAAGTTTACATCACTGCACCAGGAACTAGCTAAACATCTAACACACATCATCATCAATCCACAAGACATGCCAAAATTTCTTACTCGGGGCATTACCTACATGAAACCTAAAAACAACAAAACCACAGACCCCACACAATACAGACCAATTACATGTCTTCCAACACTCTACAAATTATTGACATCCTGTATCACAAACAAAATATACAAACATGTTGAAGAACACGACATTCTTACAGAACAACAAAAAGGTTGCCGTAGAAATCACAGGGGATGCAAAGAACAGTTACTCATAGATTCAGTCATTCTACGGCAAGCACACAAACAACACAGAAACATACACATGGCATATATAGACTACAGAAAAGCATTCGACAGTGTTCCACACAGTTGGCTGCTACATATTCTACACATGTACAAAATACATCCATCACTCATTGCATTCTTCGAAAACACTATGCAGCACTGGAGAACAACACTACATCTCAGGGTTAGTAACACTTCCATACAAACAAACGAAATATTCATTAGGCGAGGAATTTTTCAAGGAGATTCCTTGAGTCCTCTCTGGTTCTGCCTAGCCCTGAATCCATTATCCAACATGTTAAACAACACGCATTATGGCTACAATATCAGACATGAAAAAACAACACAGTTTACACTGTCACATCTCATGTACATGGACGACATAAAACTTTATGCATCCACACAAAAACAACTTCATCAACTCCTACAAATCACACATTCATACACTAAGGACATACAAATGGAGTTTGGCCTAGACAAATGCAAAAAACTTCACATAGAAAAAGGAATCCTGAAGAAAGAAGATTTTGCACTTGGAAATGGAGACGTTATTGAATCCATGGAAGAGGGCGAGTTCTACAAGTACTTAGGATTCCAACAGGCCAAACTAACAGAACATACACAAATAAAGCAACGATTAATTAAAGAATACCAAAGTAGGTTAAACGCTATACTTAGAACACAGTTAAATGCAAAACACACAGTTAAAGCAATAAACACATATGTCATCCCAGTACTCACATACTCTTTTGGAGTTATACATTGGACTCACACAGATCTCGAGCAACTCCAAAGGAAAACAAGAACAACACTTACTAAGCATAAACAACATCATCCTAAATCCGCCACAGAAAGGTTAACCCTTCCACGTAAAGAAGGCGGACGTGGCCTGATTGACATAGTTAACCTTCACTACAAACAAATACAGTCACTGCGACAGTTTTTCTACAGGAAACAAGAAACATCACAGTTACATAAAGCAGTAACTCTAGCAGACTCAAATTTACACTCACCTCATACAGACTTGACATGACATATAAAAAGCATAGACACCATTAAGCTGTCATGGGCCCAAAAGGCACTACATGGCAGGCATCCTATGACCTAGCTCAGGATTATGTCGACAAAACTGTGTCAAACTATGACTGACTCGGGACTGTCTGTTTGGAGAGACGGATTTATGGTTGCCATACAAGATCAGGTCATGAACACTAAAAACTACAGAAAACATCTTATTAAGGATGATTTTTGACTCTCACTCAAATGACTCTTGCAGATAATGCCACATTCTGCCAGAAACAATACAACATATAACCTGGTTGCCAGCTGTTAGCACAAACAGATCATTTACATAGGCGTAATCAGGTAGCAAATTTAATACAGCAAGAGCTGACACACAAATACAAATTAAACTTTCAGGTACCATACTGCAACTATACTCCACAGTCAGCATTAGAAAATCACACACAAATTATACTGTGATAGAGCTATAATCGCAGATAAAACAATTCATCACAATAGACTTGATATCACTCATTGACAAATGCAGTAAGATCGCTTATTTAATAGACATCTCTGTTCCAAACACTCATAAAATAAAAAATGCTCATACTGAAAAATTTAACAAGTACATTCTACTCGCATAATAAATAAGGCAGTGTGGAGGATTTATTGTATTTGTTGTCTTCTCTTCTACTGGTGTTATACCGCATACACTATACAAAAATCTAGAAACATTAAACCTTAGTAAAAACATATACATGGCACTACAGAAAGCTACAATATTGAATGCATGCCATGTTGTTAGGCAATTTCTAGATGTTGACACAGCAATAACACAGAAGCTTAATGTAAGACTTGTTTGGGTAGCTATGACTTGACTTTAGTTCGATATAGCCCACTTGGAACCAGTATGAGCAGAGCATGACATTTTCAAAAATAAATAAATAAAATAATAATGCAATAAGATAATTTATAATAAAGTTAGATATCAAAATTGTCTTGAAAAATGAAGAAAATTGATGAATTATTACATCAACAGATCAATTACTCTACAGAAAAGTTCCCGTATCTCATATTTTTTAAATGAACTTCTTTACATCACATCCTGCGATTTGCAAGTGTGATTGATGCCTACTTTAATGCACTATTTTTACTTGAATATTCACGGTCAGTTGTGGAAGTTCCAGATATAAGTTTTGCGATTTTACTTACTCCTTTTCATATTAGCCTGCTCCAAAGCTCTACCAAGAGTTTTGAAGAGGCTATTTTTTTCCATAGATATCAACAGTCTCTTGCACTCCAGTTCAGCAGTATGGTTTGGAATATATAAAAATTATTTTAGATATATGCTAAGTCCACTTTAATCCAGCAGCAAGACATTACATTTTTTAAATCTTCCAATTACTGCAAATCATAAA